TCAAACGTTGATTGACGACTCAATATCCTATCAATGAAAATTTCTTCTGCAGGAATGCACGCTCAGTAGACTCAATCTTCCAAGACACCAGTGGAAGCGGACGTCAAGCAAACTGCTTCGCGATTTACGGTACTTACCTCACTATTTTAATGACGACTAAAATAACGTCACGAAATATTTCGTTTCACGGGGTCCGGAAGATGTTGTAAAGGTTGTTACATTATAGTTCCCAGAAACTTTCTGGAACGACTCGAAGTCTTCCTTGAGTCCAACGCCCATCATGAACAGAAACTGAAAACGATCCACTATTCAGTCGGTGGGTGGCGAAACGTATCCGCAACTGCGGAGTCATGGTCGATGTGTACTCTAAGTGGCTGGAAGTTTGCACGATGCCTGCCACGACGTCCAAACACGTCATTGACGTTCTACGTTCTCTTTTACCTACTTTTGCCCTTCCGAAAAAAATACTTTTCTCTTATAACGCGCCAAATCTTGCTTCAAATAAAATAAACAAGTTTTTGAAGAAGAAAAAAACAAAAAACGGCATCAGGCATCACATTAGTGCACCATGCCATCCTGCAACTAACGGGCAAGCAGAACAGATGGTGTGCGAAACTAAAAAGAGCCCTTTTGAAGCTTACGGAAGAAGCAGTGCAGTGAAGAATCGCCAGGTTCTTGTTCCGGCAGCACGCGACGGCCTCATCTTACACGAAAAAAAACCCGCCGAAGCAATATTCGGCGGACGAAGAGCCACACCCCTCGATCTCATGATACTATGGCCTACGGACAAAGATCGAGAGATTCCCAGTTCGGGAGTAATGGCAGTTTATTCGGTCGGACAACTCGTCTACGTGAGGAATTTCAGCGGAAGTCGGGCCTCCCATGTAAAACTTGAGTAGAAAAGGCTCTATGTTGGTTAACCAAAAGGTGTCATCCCTCTGAATACGTTGGATATCAATGCCCATGAGTGTAAATATAACTGAATCACAAAACTCTCTTTGTGTATTGTGTAACTGCCCTTGCATTTGATAGTAGAAGCTATGGTGGTGATTTGGACCTTTCACACCAGGCTACTATTTCTTATTTTTCGCCTCATACTCCTTTGCGGTTTAAGTATGCTTCAAGAATCTTTTGGAACGGGGACACTTTTAGTCAACCAAGCCATATATTCCAAGCAGTCAATCAGGGAGTGCTGCTAGAAATCCGTCTCTCATATTAACGAATAAGCCGCACTTCTGCACAGTGCAGGTTTCCTGTTCCACGTACAGAGTTGTAAAGCAGCATCCTCATTGAATCTACCATATTCTGTTGCGGGTGAAGAAAGTCTTTGGGTACACGATACTTGAAACAAGTCTCGCACAGTACGTTGTGGTTCGACACCCACTAAAATCGTGGTCCTTATAGAGCCTCATCATTTAATCATTACCTCGTCGCCTCATATTGCTCTTCATCAACAGTAAGTACAATAGGCTGCCGCCATATTACAATCCAAAAATTGAAAAATTGAGTGGTTCAGTCCTTCGACGATCGACGTCCATCGTCGATCTTCAAATACTTATACCTGTATATAAATTAGACGCACAGGGGGGGGGGGGGGGGGGGGGGGGGTGTCGGTGGCCGAGTGCATGGTCTAGCGCACACCAGCTTGGAGCACTTGGAGCGAAAGCTCGCGCTGCAGAACCCACCCCGCTCTGCCCGTTTCGATCTGGATGCGCATCGTACCGGCGTGCGGTCGTGTATGCCTACTGCGTGGTGCACGTTAAAGACCCAAGGTTTGCGGTTGTACCAAACTGGCTAAATTACTCTTCTACAGCTGAGGCACCAGACGCCCACTTAGGTAGACTAACTTCCGGCTGTATAAACATACACACAACAATTTGCAATTAGACGCATAATAACAAAGAACACAGCGTGCCGCCTCTTTTCTTTGGATGCCTTTTTTAAACCAGCGAAAGCTCGCGCGTTCTCTCAGAACGGTCGCACATAAAACCCGCGTTTCTCCTACCCGGCCGCTTCCTCCTTTCATTATGTGTAGTTGGTTATAACTAAATAAACTATAATAATGGTGTATTATTCGTATTTAGTTTCAGTTTCAGTCAGGGAAAAGGAGTTTCGCGGGAACTAGAGCCAATAAATGAGCGGCGCTTAGAGTATTGGCACTCTCTTCCCCGACAGTGCTGTGAACGCCGCCATTTTGGTGCTTGTGCAGAGCAGGCGCAACTGCCGATCGTCATGATTCAAAAGTGCGACATCCTCAACATTAGATTCGGTGTTAGGAAGCTCATGTAACGTTGCTTTGCTTGTCGCAAACTGTTTAAAGTGGAGGACGGAAAAACGTTTTTTGTGATCTCAGATAAAGCTTCAAATAACTGGCAACCATGATTTTAAGCCACAATATGGCCGACTGTCGCTACTCTAAAGCGTAGCTTATTTAATGACATTATTTATGCTCCTGTTCAAGAGGCTTGTAATACCTGGAGGGGTCATGACGTAAGCCCCGTGGATTCCACAAGCAACTACCTTTTGACACCTGCCTCTTGCTCATTGTTCCCACTTGTGCCAGTAAATTAACTACGGTTCAGAGTAACGACACTTAACCATATTGTGGCTTAAAATCATGGTTGCCAGTTATCTGAAGCTTTATCTAAAATCAGAGGAAACGCTTTTCCGTCCCCCACAAATGTTTAAACAACCCGCGACAGAACATTGCAATAATGCATTAGCTTCCTAGCACCGCATCTGATGCTGAGAAAGTCGTACTTTTGGATCATGACGATCGGCCGTTGCGTTTGTTCTGAACAAGACCAAAAATGGCGGCGCCCAAAACAATTTTTGGGGAACGGAGTGCCGATACTTTAAAGCTCATTTAGTGACTCTAGGCATGAAGTGAACTCGGGTGTATTCTTTTCCTCTTCGTCTTTATTGTTTATTGATTACAATCATATCGAATAATGAACACATTATATCACGCTACGCTTGTGTAATTATTTGTCTTAGATTTATTAACCTGACTCACTACTTGAACCATTCATTTATCGATAGTAAATCTTCCGATATATTTTTTTAATGTGAAGGTAAAAAGACACGGAGATTGATGATGATACAGACGACGCCGCCCTCGGAAATTTTTGGAACATTAGAAATCAGCAGTTTGTCTGCCATCCGCCAGGCAGCGCAACAAAACACCCAAACAGGTTTTAATTGTTTTTTAAAATTATCTAAGCTCTACACCTATTAAAAAACTAAAGCAATATCATTGTGAAAATTTAATAATTGCAATGTATATCTATTCCAAGCAATAAATGTTATTTGATGCCAATAAATCTGTTTGATGTCGAAAAAAGATATGCGTCAAAAACAGGTAAGTTTGAAGGGCTCCTGGAGCGTTATGACTTTGAAAATGAAACAAAGCCACCGTCCACCTCTTGGGCAACCACTGTAGCTCTAAATGTTACTAAAGATTTTATCATAGTTTAATTATTTTTTCAGCGGCATTTGAAGTACCATGACTCGAAGCACCAAAAAGTGGTACGTTTGATATAAAATATCTAAACAAATAAATTTTACACAACATTCAATTTTGTTTCTGAATATTACCAAAAATAATCACTACATCTGTAGCTAATTTCATTGTCCTAGCGCTTGCCATTAAAAACATATTTGTGCTGAAATATGTCAATTTTAGGGCAATGTTTGGAGGGATAAAAAAAACAAAGTAGTGCAAATACCAAAAAAGTGTATCGTTACATTCTGCTCCGACATCACCTTAACAAAACTGCTATATTGGAACCGTGCTATCTTTAATGGATCGTTCATAAAACATGAACTAGCGGAGCAAGTGAGGGTCCGCGACATCATGTTCGCAACGCTACAAATGCGCATGAACAGTAAAAACCAACACATACATAATATCAAATGAAAGAGGATTGCATTGCCTTTCGAATGACATCAATCCCACAAAACAGTAATTAAAAGGAGAGGAGTAATGACCTGCCAAAAAGTACCTAAACTGCCACCTTCAGTGGGACCGTGGCCTTAAGCAATGCAAAACGTCATTTTTTGGTTCAAATATATATATTTGGACAACACCGTTAGCTGATCTTCCTCCATAAGTTGCGGTGATTGGCTCTCCGAGTATTCCGCGGAAAAGTAGACGCACTGGCCTCTTTTCGATTGTAACGCTGATGAGTGGTGTAATTTCCCGGATGTTTTGGATTGGGCAACAGCTTGATTGTTCGCACCAGGGACAGCGCTGCGCGATGGAATGAGGGAATAATATATCACGTGTCTTGTAATTTTATTTCCTTTGTATTATTTGAAAGCGCCCGTTTCAACAAAGTGCGCAATGAGCAGCATTCAAGTGGAGCTACCACAGCCTAACATATGTCGCATCATCTCGGGACAGTTCGTCCGGGACGCTTCATACTAAAGACATTTTAATAGAAAATGTTTTATCGCATTATTTTTCATCACGCTTTATATCACTACACTGCATTCAAACAGAGCTTATGCTGCATCTTCTAATTTCAATGCTTTAGGATGACGTATCTTCGGTATAACTTGTCCGGTCTGAATTGTACTGTATCAAATGCTTTGGGATGAAATGAGTGGACCCCCATGGAATCACTGTGCTCGTTCCAAAAAAGTTTAAATTTTATATATTCCATCAGACATTAATCTCCACCACTAAAGACGAAAAAACAAAACAAAAAAACACGCCGAATAATTTCGGAGAAATCAATATTACAACTGCTTACAAACGGCTTTGACGTACCCTGAAGTGCGTCGGGCCAAAACATCGAGAACTCGGTCAGCTAGAACTCGTCATCACTAATTTAACGCCTTGTATTAGACGAGCGCAGACGCCGCAATCATATCTTATCAGAGCTCCGCGATGTCCCCCAGTAGGCGACGTAGAAAACTCAGTTCTATGACCTTCTTATCTAGAAGGTGTTAACTCCGGGCCCTTTTGCTAAAAGCGCACCTTTCTGAGGTGCGACCAGATGAAAGTCATCTCCTTGCGGTAAGTGAGCGCTAAATCAAAGCTACATGCCATTTTGACACCATAGTTATTGGCAAGTTAGAAGTTCAGAGGGCGCTCCTTCAACCTCTTCCCACTCTGCCAGAGGAAACGCTGGATAGGAGATAGCCTCCTCTCCAGCGCTCGCACTGCTAAAGTGGAAAGAGGTGGGAGGCGCATCCCCTGAAATCTTAACCTGCCACCGACTATAGCGCCCCTGAGATTTTTTTGCCTTTGATAACACTTCGTTCCACGCGGAGACAAAGCACATCGGAAGGCAACAGTCGCGTGTTGGATGCAGATCATCTGCTACGACTAGTCCTTAACCTTTCACCGAGTATGGTCATTATGAAGTTGGCTTTAAAAATGACATACGCTTTGTTGCCGTGCATTCTTTTCGAGTGTTGTTTTAGGCCACCAGTTTGTCGCGCTGATGGTCAGAATACAACGTTTTTTAAAGGTACAAGAAAAATAAGATAAATAAAGTACGCGCACAATGGGTAATGAAACTTTATATATTGTGTGTTCTCCAGCTGCATTTTTAATTTGCACATGTGCCTACATATCCGCTGGAGTGAGTATGTCGCGGGGCGAAGGGCTGCTTTGTCTAGACTAGCTCTGTAGAAATGACTGGAGTTTGAACTTTACCGGAAAGGGCAGGTGCAACCGAGCCGTCAACGTAGGCTCATCACAAGCTGCACCTGCGCCCAGCTTTGCACGGTGCTGTAACCCCGAATTCTGTAAACTCTCTTAGTTACAAAGACTTCGAAGCTCTATTTTGAGGTCAAGCGCTTTACCAGGCTAGGCTTTAATTTGAGCAGATGTTTGCGTGACGCAAAGCTTGACTCGCACTCCCCGGACCTGCTCCCATTCTTTTCTACTTTTGCGGGCAAGAAGTTTTTGAAAGTGGCACTTTAATTTTATATTTATCGTTATAAAAATTTTGAGCACCAAGTAGGAGTGTTTGACAGGGCGTAGGATAAAAACACAAGCTGAGACTTGAAGTAGTAAAATAAATATAAAAACTACTCTGGTAATGTCAAAGGAGGCATGAAGAAAAGGTAGATTTCGCGAGGTTTAATTTTCTATGCCTTCTTAAAGCCTTCTTTGTGTAACGCTCCTGGTAAATATATCGCGAAAATATCTTACTGTTAACTTTTTTTTTTTTTTTTTTGCCACGTTACACAAGCCGTTGCTGCAAGCCTCCAGTTCCGTTATCAAGTTGGAGAGAACTACCAACAACCTGAACTCTGTATTATGCCTAAAAATAAAATTATAAACAGCAGAGTAGCTACTTAAGTTTATACACCCCAGTGACCGTGCATGGATGCATTCGCAGCGACTCACCCACTCAACGTAAAAACGCTTGTGGCGAGCCGATGTGGCGAGCAATTCAAGGAAAAGCTTCGTGACGCAATCTTGAGTCACGGTTATCCCGTTTTGTTGTCACTTTAGTTGCTGTGGATACACCTGACTCTCTAAAAACATGTTGTAAATTATTCAGAAGCCAACGAATTCGGCTGCCATTCCTAGGAACACCCGAAAAGTGTTGGGCTGGCGGTGCGACAGAGCGAAATCGCCGAGCCGCGTTTCTGTGTCTCGACTCGCGTACAAGCATTTGATTTAAAGGAGAGCCTGCTCCTACCTCGTACAAAAGACACGGCGTTTGCTTCTGACTCGATGACAGAACTATCGAGAGTTTTAGGGAACAGTATTTGCACATCCGACACGGTACAATGAACCATCCGGTACGAACTTGGCATGTGCTAACGCGGAAGACTCGCGTGTGCGCAGTTCGTACCGCCTCGTACCGTATCGGATCTGGAAAAAACCGGGTCTCTAAAGCTTTATTATACGCCTCGTGCATGTTTGAAGCGTGCTGACTCCACACGTATGTATGCTTTGAACACGTCATTAAAGATTAAATATCGAATATTTTAGCACATTACCTTTCTTTATCGTGGGACTTTCTGAATGGGGATTTTTAGAATAGGGAGCTATATCGCCTTGGGTTCCCCGAGCAGCTTAGGGCGGTTGCATGCACGAGCGTAGAATTTCCCTAATGTGAGAGAAACAGGGGCGACCTTTCGTGATAGTACACAAGCCTTCCTCAAGCGAGAGCACCTGCAAAAAAAAGCACGTTAGTGAACCTCGAACGTGTCTGTCGTTAACCAGAGTGCACCTACGAAGACCGCTCCATTAAACGTCCTGTTGCCAGCGCAGTTTTCAGCGTCGCTCTTTGGCGTTACGATTTCGAACACGCATGTGCTAGGCTCTGCAGATTGCGGAATAGGCTGTATAATGAGTAGGCACTGACTGATGTACGCACAGCTTTAAAACTGTTACATTTAGCTCTCCTCCAAATTGTTTCAGCACTGGGGATAAAATTGCATATTTACACAGAAATGCAACTAATACAAATTCACCCCCATTAAAAAAAAAAAGAATTTATGTTTGCGTTTTGCATCTTTTTTATAAACATATTTTCTATCAAAGCAAGTTTCAGAAAGCCAGATGTTTCTGGTTTACTGAAAGGCGATATACATCAATTCACTATTTATAGAACTGTCTGTTCGAGCTATCTCAGGAGCTGGTGTGCGCGCGCAACACGAGTGAAAGTATACGACCTATGCCACCTCGAAGACAAGGCCTGCGCATGATGTCATCGTTAGTAGATCCCTGACCCGCCCCATGCAAGCGGCAAACCACCCGCAGCTTGATGAGAGTAGGGGACACTCCACAACTACGCCGCATTGGCTAGCGGCCATAGCTGCGTGCGCGACTGCTGAGCGCGAGCTGATAGCGAGCTACCACAGTTAATTTGCAATGTGCATGCGACACCATCAAGATTGCCGGTGTTAGCAGCCTATAGCCTAGTTCACATGCAGCGGTTTTTGCCCTAGAGCGGCGCGATTTCTGCCGTCGCGGCACTCTGGCTAGCACCAGCGATTGAGCGGCATGAGCGCCGCGACGGCAGAAATCGCGCCGCTCTAGGGCCAAAATCGCTGCATGTGAAACACGCTTATTAGTGTGAGCTCGTGCGACACAATCAAGATTGCCGGTCTTAGCAGAGTATTAATGTGAGCTCGTGCGACACCTTCAAGATTGACGGTCTTAGCAGCCTATTAATGTGAGATGGTGCGACACCATGAAGATGGCCGGTTTCAGCAGACTATTAATGTGAGCTCGTACGACACCATCGAGATTGCCGGTCTTAGCAAACTATTAATGTTAGCTTGTTCCGAGCATTACCACTGAAGCAGGCGATGTCGCATATAGCAGACGATGTCGCAGACGAGGGTACTCATCCTGGCTAGCTGGGAGGCACTGAGGGTACAGTGTACTGAGGGGATCTACTCGTGATGATGTTTAGAGGAGGAAACGCGCAGGCCTTGTCGTTTAGCTGGTATTGATACGACCCAAGTGTCAACGAGCTGCTCATCACCATTACTAATTTTCAACAGGTTATCGATGAGTGCGCAAATGCTCTCAACATTGAACACGTCATCCGCCATACTCATTTGCAACGAAAATATTTGAACCAATGTTTCCTATTGGCTCGAGAACGCTGCCTGGAAAGCAACTACGACTGGTGCGTTCAGCGCCCAATGAACTAACCTCACCTCCAGTTTCACTACGCCATCGCTGCCCATCGTTTGGACTGTAGTGTTTCTGCACCAGCGATAACCGCGCTAAGGGTCTGCGCGACCAGAGCACAAGGCGGCACGAGCTTTCTCGGAAACTGGCGCCTGCCTCCTATGAACTAGAGCTATGGCGGCGTCACGCATGCGTGGAACGCTTAGTGAGAACGGTCTATTCCGTTCGTTCATTGGAAGTTTTCCCAACGTGGCAAAAGGCGTCACAAACCCGGAGCGTCATACTATTGGATGCCGCGATCTTCGTGGGTAAAAGCTCCGGCAACAAAACTGGAGCAACGGTGAGTGTCGCTGTCGCTACGGCGTCTTAACGCCTGGCTGCCGAAGCTATTCCGTGGACTATTACGTTGGAGAGCGACCTGCAGCAGAACGGGCGTTTGGCTCCTCCACCACCGCCAAGACCGTGGCCGGCGACAACGTATTTATGATGTCATCAGGTGGAAGTCGAGGAACACTTTTTGGGACGCGGTAAACACACAGGTTGGAGACGCCTTCCAGGCGCCATATAGCTTCCAGAGTCGGGCCAAATCACTTCTTTCGGCCACTAGGCGCCTCCCCGTACTATGCCAAATACGATGGGCCTCCAACGTCGCTGACTGGTTAAGAAACACAGAGGCGTAATAAACCCCAGCATCTTGTCATCGCTCCGAAGACGATAAGATCCCATTATTTGCACATAAGAAAAAAATAAGAGCAAATCACGAAGCTAGAAGCGTGTAAAGAAGTAAATAAAATTTGGCTTATGTTTACTAAATTCTCAGTGGCTATTGCGCAGGAATGGTGTTCTTTTGTCACCTTCCTTGTCACTAGTGTCATATTTTTTTGTTTTCTTTTTACTATAATTGACTCTGTTAGTGTGACGTCATGACTCCAAACAAACCGTTGCTAGGGCCGTTGTTATGAACAAATACATCTGGCTAGGTTTCGCTACGAAAACCCGACCGTTCAAAAATCAGGAGTAGGATTTAAACTTCTGAGAGTCACAGATTTATGAAAGCTTGAACTTCACATATGTTTCGACAGAAGTGTGCCAGTAATCGCTTGTTTCTGAAATATTTAAGACTGCAACTTCCGGTCCTCAAGATGCTTGCAGCAGACGACGAATGCAAGAAGTATGCCGTCTGCCAAACGCGGCAGGCCAAGCCGGCGCCGTCGTTTGAATCGTGTGAGTAAGGACGATATTCTGATGTTGCATTTGTTCTAAATATAATGATTTTCAGTAACTTAAAATAATTCATATTGGGGTGCAATGCAAAATATGGTTTATCGAAAGTCCGGGCGTCGATCGAGATGATCGTCTGCTGAAAGATCGCATTGGACCCGTGAGAAAAGTACTTCAGGCGATTG